TGCCGGTTCCTGCTTCCGAGATCCCACATTCTGTTCCGTCGGTGAAGAATCGCAGAGCACCTCGTCCAGAGAGGATGATGAGATCAAAACACCTGAACAACCTTTTACCAGTCCTCATTAACACAATAGCTAAGTGGGCTGTTTGCACATTAAAAGGGAAAAGGCATAAAGCTCTCAGTATTGGTCATTGCATTAGGGATGCACCATGCATCCGACTTGAGCATCACTAGAGGCGATTGAATGCATATCTCGTCTGCGCAGTAATTCGTGGTGGCCTTCCAATATATCGGTTCGGTGCTGCTATCCTGGTACCAATTTACCGAACCCGGAGGCTTGGAAGGCTTGGTAAGCCTGGAGCGGGAGAACGATCTCATGTGCATTGAAGGGTGCCTCTCACCACTGCGCTCTATGCGTCTCTTTAACGCATTACTTGTCAGAATACAAGGTGTTATATGGAAGACTCAATAGAAGAGTAGTAAGACCGCGTTGTTGCATAAAAAGAGAGATCCGAAAGATCAATCTGTCTGTTTTATGTCATCTATAGGCTCTTCACTGGAGTCATACAGAACAGGATTTACAGAACACTCGACGGAGTTCAGCCTTGTGAGCAAGCAGTTTCAAAGAAGGTTCAGTGCTTTAGATCACATCCACACGATAATGAGACTGGTTGGAAAATCGCGAAAACGCATGAATCAGCTCTGTCTCACTTTTACTGACTTCAGGAAAGCTTTTTGATTCAGTTAGGGCAGAAGCTGTGACAGAAGCTCTGAACATCCAGGACGTTACCAATTAATACATGAAGATCCTTCTTGGGCTACACAGGCGTTTAGCAACCAAAATATCGTCACTCTATAGCGGTATTAATATCGATGTAGAAATAGAGGTTCGACAAGACGTACCAATTCGTTAAAATTATTTGCAGTCATTCTAGAAATTGTCATAGAAAAGTTGGAATGCGACAGGGAGTGGAAGTCGGTGGTTGTAAATTACACCACCTTCCAACTGAGAGATAAACGAAAGGAAGGCCCTCATGGTTGGCGGTGAACGCGCTAGCCCCCACAAAGGGTAACAGCACGTTCATTCCCCACAGCAGACACATGCGGTCCGGAGTTTTGCAAATATCTCAGCATCATTGTGGTTGTATTACACACAATACCCTGCCGTGAAAAATTGTAATAGGCAGTAAATAAAAAGCTAGCATTGTGATACACCATCTTCGATTCGGTGATAAAATCGTTCTTATAACACGCAAGTGGAACGAATGCTTACCGACTTTGATAAAGCCTGTGTAAAGAATGGTCTTCGACTAAATCTCGTAGAAACGATGTTCATGAGGAACGGATTGGTTATAAATGCTTCTTTCTCTCTCAATGCAATGAATATCTCCAAGTGCCGCGTAATGCTACGTTTATCTAGGTCGAGAAATCAACTTTATGAACGACTTAGCTCCAGATTCGAGTAAGAGGAAGGGAGCGACTTGGAGAAGCTTGAAGACCACCGAAGGTGCAATGAGGAGAACAAAGAACACCCGACTCCGTGCTCACCTTTTCGGCTCCACAGTACTTCCTTCCTTAACATACGCATAAGGAACCTGTTCACTATATAAGAAGGATAAAAGGTTAGAGACCGAGAATTTTTTTTACCAGGCCGTGACTACCACTCCGTACTCACTAATCAGTCCATGAGAACAAGAATATAGGTAATACGGACGCGGAAAAGACAGTAGCAACAATGTTGTTCATTATTGAGCTCAAGGCGGCTGCTTCAAACCTGCTCCGACCAATCAAGCATGCCACCTTTCCAAGGTTAGAAAATAGGTTCCTGAGTTGTCTAAGAAGAACTGCTTACGATCCATAATGTTTGTGAATATCTGGAAGCGCTCTAACACAGCGCTTCAGGATTCTGAAGAGATATAACTTAAACATAATGCTGAGATATTTGCAAAACTCCGGACCGCAGGTGTATGCGGTGGGGAACGAATGCTCTTTATTGTCCTTTCCGGGGAGTAGCGCACTTCACCACCACACCATCCGGGTCCTTCGTTTTGCCTGTCTCTCTGCCTGTGATTATAACTAAGCCTCAGCTTAACTGGGTTCAATGCCGATTTGGGCTCGCCAGATCAATCCCGTTGACGGGTAATTGCTAATGGCAAAAGATCAATAGAACTAGCTAAGAGACAGGCAAAACAAAGGACCCGGATGGTGTGGTGGTGAAGTGCGCTAGTCCCCGGAAAGGACAATAGTTTGTTCGTTCCCCACCGCATGCGGTTCGATCTGACCTGCGGTCCGGAGTTTTGCAAATATCTCAGCATTATATACGAGTTATATTCTGAAGAGAATCTAACAGTATTGGAAGACATTCACATAGAATTCTGAACTCCTAAAGAACATCTCAAGCACGCACCGTGTGTAGTCTGTATACTCAGCCAAGGATTTATAGGATTTCTAAGGGTCTAATCAGTGGAATATGAGAAGGCCTACTCTGTTGTGCAATATGCAGCGGATTTTGCTCGTCGGAGTGTGTGATTCAGTGGTCTTATATTGCTTTGGATTAAAAACAGTTATTCAAAAAATCCAATCGATTGCTTCTTAACGCTGCGTAGGTCATTAGGATATCACAGTATATAATTACTCGTTGCCCATTGTTCACGGGCTTAAGGCAAATATAGCACATCGTTGAACCAGAAGCCGGTTGTGAGTTCGCGTAACTGAAGGCTCCTGCTCGAAAACGATGCTTGGTAATATCCAGAAATCTCTTGTAATCAGAATCCCAGTACTCGAAATTCAAAAACATAATCGTTAATATATTAAGCGATAACCTGTAAGATTGGGTCTCACTGGAACTACCCAGCTATTCATTTAAACCACGCTCTGCATAAAGTAATCTCACAAGCGTTGTAGTAAAAAGGATAAAAAGATAAAGCTTCAGCTTTATCAATACCTGAGGGATGCGCCATGCATTTGGGTTCATTAGGCATCGTTAGAGGTGATTGAGTGCATATCTCGCTTATACAACTTGTGGTGGCCTAGCGTTGTAACAAATCAGTGCTGCTATTCTCCCACATAAACCTAGTAACAGTTTACAAATTTCAGAGAGATTGAGACTTAGTGAGCCGGGCTCGCCTGATCGAACCAACAGCCACTGTGTTTTGGAGGCCACCTCTAACCAATACGCTCCACCCGCCCAAACGCAAGACAAAATAAGAAGTTCGTCTATATGATTGCAGAATCACCTTTCGAAGCTCCGACAGTGAATTATCATGATATTAGTGTTCATCGAATGTAGAGAACCAATCAGGTAACTATGACGAATGACAAGGATGAATAGGGTAAATTAATCATGTTTACCTGATTTATCGTTGCTCAACAATGCGACATAGCAGCATGTCAGGTAATATGATGTTCATAAATGAGATGGAAACGACATTGAATTTAAACTATACGATAGAATGCTGGTTTATCAGAAATCGAACCAGTATTATGCTGTCTTCACTTGCTAATAGTTTATAAAAGATAGATGTATACTGTAGAGGCTAGACGGAAACCGTTGTCGGCCTGATGACCACAACGGGTGTGGATACTATTCCCTCTTCATCGTAGGACTCGTTCCCCCTCATTACTGCGACGCAGTAAATCATCGAACGAGCAGTGCTTCAAGAACAATACGCAGTTTCGAAGATGCGAAAATCGGGTCCTGCAATGCCAGCAAATACCTTTGAACTGTCAACTTTTTCAACTCTGCTATGTCGAACCACTGTTCCTCTAGGAAATAAAGAACCAATGAGGTGTTATATCTATAATATTGAAAAAAGAGCGTGTAGCGCAGTGATTAGTGCTGCCAAGCACAATAGGTTAGACGCTGGTTCGATCCCACGCGTCAAGGTTACAAGCCTTCCATCGCTTCTGTGTTAGCAAATTGGTAGTACCACAGGGCGTTTTACAGACTAGATATGCATCCTTTCATTTCTAGGAAGCCTAATGAAGTCGAAAATGTGACGCATCTTTCTGGGAATGATTAACCCGTATTTTACAGCACAGTACTGCATACTTAGTTCTTTGAAATACCATACGTAAAGTATAAGGAATAAAGATATGGCGATGATTTTTAAAGAGTTTCTCTTTTTGCTATGTACTGTCACAAAATTGTGATTTAGACTTTGTCACGAATTGGTGGTACCGTAAGGGAGCGGGTAGCAAAGTAGTAGTGATGCCCGTCGTCATGAGCATGGTGCTAGTTCGATTCCTCCTCGGCCCAACCCAGCCTCTCATTCAGGGTCGGGAAATTTGTACTGCACTTCCCTGGAAAAAAATCCCTTTCTGCAATACAACTGGAAACACTCCAGCCCAGCTTAGGACTCCAGGGAGAACTGTTCGACCAGCATGCTACAACATTCGAGATGAAATGAAAATCCTCAAGCAGCAACTGAAGCCACTCGTAAAGTTGGAAGATCTTTGTGGACATTGGATGCGTGGGAACGAAAAGAATGTGAGAAGTGCTGGGATTCGCACAGTAGACGTGAAGACGGGTGTAATAAAATGAAATAAAAAACTGTCAGCGTATCCACTTGAAACAAAAAGACCTTTATTGGTCGTCAGAAATTAATATGTAAATAAATAAATAAATTAAGAGCACAAAAACAAGTGACATGGAAGAACCGAATAGACTTCCCTAGGAAATACAAAATTTCGATAATTCAACGCGCAAAGCACATGTGCAGAATGTGGTAACATCGTGTACAACTAGGAAAAATAAAAGAAAGAAACAAGGCTACGAAATCGGCACTGTCAGTCCAGTGTACTGCAACACGTGTTGTACACTTCACCAACGGGGAGCCGAATGCGTATCGGACACAGCTCGGCAAGAAGCTCAGCTGGAAGGTCCGCATGCAGTCAGCCTCTAAAGCCGTGAAAGAGACGGGTGTGGAGACCGATATTAGATATCAAAAAGCGGAACTCGGATAGAATTGAGCGGATGTTAGGTTAACGATATCTTCGTTTTTTTCACTTCTCATCCTCTCCGACAGGCGAATCGTTCACTTTGAAATCTGAATGTAGATGTGTTTATCACTAATCATTGATACGATGATGATTGTAAACTACAGTGTGTGTTGAGGCAAGGCATAAGGAGAAGGGTATGAAGCACATGAAAAATGGGAAAGGATAGAACGCTTACGTTTACGTCGTACACATGCAATGCCTTGCGAGTATGCTATGGGTGAGCATTGACAGACGCCAGCATGACATAACGACAGTCCATCCTGATAACCTACACATTCCGTGTCACCAACGCATCGCGCTCCGATCGGACGTATGGCTGCAGGCAAAGTTAGCAATCGCATCGCATCAATGGCATATTCGTAGCGCGCGTGTGAAAACCAAGCGCAAAGCCATTCAATATCTATTGATCACGAGTGCGCTTTGCGATGTATGATGTTGCGTACACGCGCGCACCGAACTGCACTTTTGATCATATTAGCACTCACTCTCTTGCAATATGGTTGCTTTCGACTGTACATCATTTCCTCCAGGAGGACAGCATAAATTTAGCCTCTCGACGCATTCAAACGTTGAACCACAGACGCCGTTAGGAAAGCAACCACTCACAGCCACTTCATTGTTGGGACAAATGCCTAAACGGCAGCATGGTTCCATATTGCTATATTTGAAGAATGGACTTCCGGAGCTCAGACTGACTTTTTATTCTGGACTCCTTCCTTGGTGGTGGGCAACAAAGCCCGTTCTGACACTCGAGACCGACTCCACATAAGCCGTTTATGCAACCACCAGACGCGGCCGAACCGTCGTTGCACATTTCGAAATGAGCTGAAGCGAGCACTTCTGCAGCATGCAACGGTGAAATGTTTGTGCCATGCAGGAAAGTTTTTAATAGGAATGGTCCCACAGTGGTTGTATATGGTTGTATTCACTTTGCGTTTTTTAAGGATAGAATGGAAACTAGTTGCTGCTACGGTATAAAATCATTAGTGTTTAATCTTCGTGTTTGGGCGTCTAAGCTAATGTAATTAATCGGGTGAAAATCGCGTTATTACGAGGATTATGGTTAGCATGGACAAATTGTAAACACAGAACGAGTACAAACTTTCATAGCCGTTATCTGTAAGCCATCGTAATTATTTTAAAACATGTCTTGCTGCTACAAACTTTACCGTTGATGCGATCGCTTTATTCAAGATCAAAAGTCCCTTGAACTCAAATAGCTATTATAGAAAAACTCTCCAAATAAGGACAAATATGGGAGACTTCTGGAAAATTCAATTAGTTCCGACCGAATTTGTTTTGGAAGTGTCACATCTATTCTTAGATAAATTTGTGAATCCTGTTTATGTTCATTGGTCTCCCTATTAAATTGCTTCCGGACTCAAACTGTGGATAATATATGGTTAGCAGGTGTGAGAAATTCTTAGGCAGCGTACGTGGCATATAACTGTGTAATGGTCGTCCGTAGGCGGTTGGTCGTATGTTCTGCCCAGATTTCAGTCTACTGAACGCCGTCGTTGTTGGACAACAAATATCTGCGTAAGTATTGCAGGTGAATCCCGGCTGACATTGTCCGTTGTTGCAAGGGCCTGCTTGCACAGCAAGCGCACAGAGACCGGGAACTGAAACACAGACTTGAATACCGCCACCATAGCTCAGGTTTGAATTCCTGAATGATTCCGATACGCTAACCTGTTTGCAGATCGACGCAAACACCGTCGTTCGTGCCGTCCGGATTGGCGCTCGAGGGTGGATAGACAGCTACATATCCCACTGGACACATTCCCGCGACGGCGGGTCCGATTTGAAATTGCGGATCGCGGAAGTTGACAACCGGACAGCATTGAGGATTTGTAGGATTGTTGTCGCAGGCATAACCGACACTACATCCGGCTGGAGTGCACGGGCCGATTCCCATAGACGGTGCATCACAAACGCCCTGTAATAAAAACAAAATGGCAACACAGAATATGGTCGGGCTCTGAGAATCTCCTTCGTACTCTATCGCTGTCCAAGTCAAGATGACGGGTCGGATAGAAGGAAGACATGAATGAGGTATTTAACTGGACTAGGATTGTGGGCGACGCCATCACAACTTTGTAGGAGCCCCAAATCACGTAAACGCCACACTGACATTCGATTAGCTTCTTGCAAAAATTGAACTCCTTATTAATAATAGATTGTAAAAGAAAGAGTGGACCAGAGAACTTCAACGTTTACAAATTAAGTTCTGTTGATCTTCCCAGTAAATCAATATCGTCCAATTGATAGAACCTTTAGAATTAGTATGTTTCTGTTCCAAAACCGTTTTCCATCAGTTTATTACTTAAAAATCATTCGTAACAAAGTGTTTATTTCGCCAAAAAGAAATCTGGTCGTATGGAACCCAAAGTTCGTCCTGTTCACCGTTTTTTTCCATTAAGGTTCGAAATTGGAACTCAAAAGAAATTGAGCGAGTGGAATTTCATCCAGCAGGACACGATGATATTCAACATTTCACTTTGTCGAAAATTTCAATTTTAAGCAATCTTGGAAATGAAAAGTCGAAGAGTGTTTTATAAAAGTTATACACATCCTTGGAGCGCTGGTAGCCCAATGATTCCGCTGAGTAAGACGCACGAAGCTTTAGTTCGACCACGCTCAGGGCCCGCGTAGGCTCAGAACTCTTTCACGACGGCGGGCATTCTCGTGTGTCCTGCTCGTCGGGCAGCATGTCACTGAAGCGCAATGAGAATGCGCATTGAAATAAAGATGTACGATGCATGAGCCTGCGCAAAAGGCACGACTTACTGGTTTCTTGAGATCACTATTCTATTGTCCGATTTCCTCACATTTTTCCATCTCTCTGTTACTTCTACATATCTGCTATGTTCGCCTATGTTTGTTCCCATGTTCCTGGATACCTGTTACGTGTGATCCAGCTATTGTGTAAGATGGGAAAAAATCGTCCATTGTCTAATCATGATGTTATTAGCGTTCCACATGGTTTTCTCTGATAGTTGGATTGTATTTCTGTGCCTCTTTCATGCTTTTTATATCCACCGATTCCAATCCACCGCCCGAAACCGCTTTTGGAAGTTAACCGAGAATACCTATCCACGGACCAGCTCCAGAATAAAATCTACGCTCGGTAAGTCATCGGTTGGCTAAAAAGGGCTCTGAAGGTGTTGTTTGATGAAAAAATAACGTATCTACATAAAAATATTGAAAGAAATGCAGTTTCGGTCAGCGCTGCCCATTAAATAGTTGTTACAATAGAAAGATTCAACCATTGCACTACCTCGGTCATTTTCGTTGGCAAGCCTATAGGGCAGCCTGTTATTGGAAAGCAGTTATGATGCGCATCGAAATCAAGGTGTACGGTCCACAACAGCGTACATAATGACATCAATGCGTATTACCATGAAAAGGTTAAGCCGCTCATTCATCCAGAGACGAAGAATTGACACAAACTTGTTTGGGAAAGTCCTGCGATGCATAAAGGCTGACAACAGCTTGTAGTTAAGACTCGAACCGCTTGACACGACTATCCCAGGATTCCAGAACATACGCGAACGGTATTCAGTGAAATACATAAAGAGGACAAAATCCTCAACCCACACACAAAATCTGAAGACTATCGTGGACGACGGATGTGAAGCAATGAACCGAATAAGGGAAGTACAGTCATTCGAACAATATATTATGTCGCATGAGATTAATAAAAAATGAACAAAATTTAAATCACGAATTCTTCTCACCACAAGTGCTCCTGCGGCAGGACAGCAAACGTTTCCTGTAAGCGTTGTTCCAGCTGGGCAGATACCATTTACTGGTGGAGTACCAGCGCTTCCATCCGGACACCTGCCTGCATTGCTACAACAGATACCTCCTTGAAGGGTGGATCCTTGAGGGCATAGGCCATTCACTGGTGGCCCAATCGGATCACCACCCTGAGGACAAGCTGAAATCAACTATATTCTAACATCCGTTTTTGGATACGCATATTTTGAAAACCACTTGTCCTACGCTAGAAATGATAGTCAAAGGAGAAGTTTATCATATTTTAAACAATTTAGCATCAATGTCAGAATTGATTTTGTATGATGTCCAACTAGAATTAGGTTATCGAGGCTCTCGTTGTGACGTAGCATCTGGTAGTTTAGGAAGTGTTAATTGTACAGATGCGATACAAATGTTTTCACTGTTTCAGCAATTAAGTAACTGTTTCGTCAATTATTGTTAATTAATTCCACTAAAACTATGGAGGAAAAGGCAAGATGCCCAGTCTGAGGGAAGAGTTTACTGCACGAATTTCCGTAAAATTAATGTATATTTCATATTGCATGGGAGTCTCGCTGCACTCACTTGTAACCGGACAGCAAATGTTCCCAGTGGTGCAAGTGTATCCTGTTCCGCAGTAGTAGGTGATTTGCACGCCTCCGCAACCGTCACCTTGACACGATGGAATGCAGGCACCGACGGCTTCCGAACCGTCCAGGCATCTGACGCCCGCCGTAGTGCCGGCACAGCACAGTCCGTTCTGGCAGGTGTAGCCTGCACCACACTGGCCGTTCACACATCCACCAGCTGCTTGATTTCCATTCGGACACACTGTAAGTGAAGTTCATAAACAGTTGTATGCGTTTTGCTGCGATAAATGCTCACGCAGGTGTGACACTATTAGCACTAGTTGACTATCTTTTGATGCTTTCAAGGTCTTCGATAGGATTATCATTGCTTCTTTTTACAGTGACTTTCTTCTTATTTTTTTTTCTGTGGCAAAGAGCAAACAACTGCATTCGAATTATCAATTGCTTTACAAACATTCTTTATCAAGCCTGTTTGTGCAAGAGGATTTTATAGTGGATAAAAGATTTTTAATACAGTAAGAAAATATTTTTTGATCCCGCTCAACTTCCTCCGCGTTCGAGGACTATTTTCATGAGCTACTAGTCGAATATTAGACTTCTACTCGCAACCGAATATTCTCTACTTAGTACTGGAATTTTGTGACAAATTTCTATTTGCTGTTACTTCACGATGATGCGAGCTGATGTTGCTCACGGCCGACGTGCTTTCTACGCCACCGGTATCACTAAATGTATTGTGCTTTAATTTGTGCGACGAGTGAAGCACTGAGTAATCTCTTGATTGGTCAGTGTCATCTATCATAGTGGTAAAATCGCATTTCCTTCTTCAGCGAGTTTGAAAAATGAACCACTAGGGTGATGTAATGGGCTTGACCCATCCGAAAACCTTAAATTCGAAGGGTTTTATAACATTCCACCGAAGATTTACCGGATGATGTCTGCAAAATTTCGCCATTTTTTTTGAAAATTTGTATAAAGAAGGAATGTTATTGAAAAACCTACCGAATGGATTCTTCGTTACCAGTGAAGGACAGCACTGATTTTGAACGCAGGAGAAGCCGGTAGCACAAGCACCGTTCACACAGTTGCCGACGGATGGGCTTCCAGATGGGCAGACGACTTGAATAACAGCGTAAAGCATTCAAGCTCATGTCATACATGCTAATGTTTTTTCTTAGATCTCTGTGTTTTCTTATTTTCAACCGTTAAAAAAGTAAAATACGCAAGAAGCACGATTACTTTGAAAATAGATGTAAAGAGGGAGAACTTACAGGCTTGAATACGAGGCGGAGGAGGAGGTGCATAGCTGGGGCAGCAGAGGTTCTGTTGACACGAGTATCCTGGTGAGCAGTACCCCAAGTTGCACTGGCCAATGGGAATACCTCCCCCAGAACAGAGAGGAGCCGCTTGAAAATCATGTCTTAAGAAATCGAACAAAACGGATGTCGAACTCACAAAAACGAATTTTTCAGAACGCGATAGTAAAACATGATAAAGATGAAGGCGGCTTGACTGCTAACACATTGATTGCGTGAAAATTTACTCCAACAAGTGTATTTAGTTCTCCGTCCTGCCAAACTACTCTTTTTGAAGTGGATATCAGAGAAGTCGAGAAACGGATGATTCTATTGGTGTAAGAAACGAGTGTTACTACTTCGCTATTGTTCTTCGTTATTGATGAAAGCAATACGCCTTCCAATAGTTTACCGCATCATCATAGCTAGGAAGTGTTCCTGGGTGTCGGACTGCGATGTACAGCAGAGGGACTCGTCTCCCCGGCAGGGTCTCCAAGCTGAGCAGGAGTCCGGAGTTTCCAACAGAAAACCCAGCTAAAAGTAAACTAGTGCAATGATCCACCACCGTTCTGGTATCAAATTAGTCGCATGGTGGCAAATCTCCCTGTGATCCACAAGGGCGGCGACTGCCTGTGGTGTGACGGCCTGGGGCAGACTTTCGCTAGGGTAATCTCGAGACTCCAGGGAACTACAATGGGTTACCAGCAAAAACGGCGAAGCAACGGGAATTATGCTGCGGCTCACGCAACCAGTGAAGACGGGCCTCCAAGAACCAAATAAAAGAACAATGTCCTTAGTGAACCATACTCCAGGTGGCGCCGAAACATTTTTGTGAAGGACTCAACAGAAGAAACACATTAATCTAAGGCAAATCAAAGAGTGATGCGAAAAGTCGACTGATACTCATAAAAAACTCACCACTAAGGCGGAAAAAAAATTAAATTGAATTTAATTGAAATCTCTGAGAGAAATGACGTACGGAAAGCGAGGATTTGTGGTGAGGTGGGCTGGGAGCATCCAAGACAATTTGCAGATGGGATCGATGGCGCTGTAAAAAAGTAAAAGATGTAAACTATGAATGACCATAGTGAAATCACATGTAAAGAGATGTCTGTGAGGAAAATGCGAGCGTGAAAAACGTGGACGTCATCAGATCATGTTTGGGAAACAACGGGTGATTATTGGGATGATAATCTTCGTTCTGGCTGTTATCACAGATTTATGTAAAGACCAGCGGTCTGAACAACCTCGACTCATCGACAAGTCGAGGAAAAACCTGGCCGAAACAGGCCTCCGGCCAAGTGCAGTGTTGAATTATCGAAACCGTCTGCTGTGCTCCAACATCTAATATGGTTGAAAAGGCGTCAAAGAAACGAGGAACTTAACAACCGCCAGACGAGACTTTTCTCTTCATCATCCGCACGATTTCTATCAATTACACTTCAATTACTATTTGAACTAAGCTGTACAGGTCTCCAAAGAAAAATCCTTCTGACAAATCTATGCAAAGCCACTGGCGAGATGTGGAACCAATCTGTAGGTAATGGATCTTAAAGTGACGATAACCTAACAAGAAACTCCAAGAAAAGAGAATAAATTTTTGATTGATACATCAAACTTGACGACTACTTGGCTAAAGCCTTGCCATTTGGCTAAGTTTGCGAAGAGTTTACAGTACTTTTAACGTTACTGATGGGCGCATATTGCTCGCACGTGGTTGGAGGCACCACTGCGGCACACACGTGGAATCGATCCTCGCGCCCATGGCCCACCAAGCCTTCCATCGGCCTGCAAATTGGTACCAGACTTGTCTGGGAGGATAGCAGCACTGGCTCGCTACATCGGTAGGCCACTGCGAGTCATCGTAATGACCAAATATGCATTCAATCACCTCCAACGATACCTAATGAAGTTGAATGCTCAATGCCGATGGAGAAATTTCGACAATGTCTCTTCTTGCATGTGGTACTCTACAGCAGCATTATCATGATCACACACGATCATCCTTAGCTCCTTGAATGAGAATGCTATGAAGTCCACGAGATCATTGGAGATCCAAAACTGGCTGCACCAACCAGTTTAGAGAATTGTCCACACATATTTATGTTAATTAGTGATGTGGATAGTTATTAGAGACCAAGTTCCGCAAATATAAATAATGTTGGTAGTTAAACAATTCATCGTCTCACCATATGAAGGACCTGAAGTAGAGCTGCAGCAGTAACCATTGTTACACGTTCCACTAGAACACGGATTGGAATTAGAACAAGACAAAAATGTGCACACCATTCCACTGGTTGGTAATCCTGAAATTGATCGGTTACATTGCATCAACAATGTACATAACTCAAATAGTTCAAATGAAAATCTAAAGAACTGTCTGCAAGAGCTATTCAGTGACAACATGCATGCTATCTTAGAAAATTATTTATTATTCCATGCAATAGGTTAAAAGAAGGCAAGAAAGAAAGTAATAAGGCAAGAAGAAACTGATGAACGACGAAGTCCCATCGGATCTGAAACGAGTAATGATTGGTTCTTTCGTGTAATTTGCTCATAAAGAGAATGTTCACCATTGAAGAGACCTCATACTTCTAGATTAGTGGTTGACAGCACTTTCCCATGCTATTGCAGAAGTACGGTGACGGACACTGTAGACTATATCGGCAAATGGTGCCAAAACGAGGATTCACCTCGAAACTGCCTGTTGGACAGCTGAATGTGAACGATGAACTTCGACGTTCTAAAAAGGAAAACAGTATTTTGTTTAGACTACAGATACAGCTTGAGATTTCACCGAACTGTGTCACTGCAAATATGGAGGAAAACACAGTGACTGAGTTATGAGCATGCTTGGGTCGTTATGATCAGAAACTCACTTGTATTGCAGCAAAATCTTGACTCCTCATTGATTAAAACACACACATGTGTTGTGCTTGGACAGAGTGAATCTTCACTGCACATCGCCTCTGGAACGCCACCGTCTGGGCAGACGACGTTCAAGTAGCAGCAACGTCCATCTAGCGTGCAGGTATATTCTGGTGGGCAAAGTGAGCGACTCGCCGAGCAACGATGCTTCACCAAACAACGAAACTATAGAAAACTATATTTGTTTAATTTCATTCTTCATAAATCTAAAAGCATTAACTAGTCTTAGATCCGATAATCAAACAAATCCCACTTTTTTGGCAGTCGAATTGGAATCGATCGACTTGCTTTCACCTCTCGACTTCGTCTTCGATGATGGCAGATCGGAGAAAAGGGGTTTCGCAGTGGTAGCCGACGTATCAGAAGAATTCCTGTCGAAGGGACAGCATGTGCTTCGTTCACAACGTGACTGAATTGGACATTGTTGTGAGCGGCTGCAGCGGTGCGGAACAGACAGCGGCCACAATCCATTCTGACAACGATGGTGTCCCATTACTTGACAACATTGTCCGCTGATACACTCATCAGCTTCAGGGCATGGATTGCTCATACTGCATTCGTCCACGCGTCTGTCCAGAGTACAAGCGGCATTCGTTGATGGAGTAGGAAACAGTTGCAAAACACCATCGTTTTGTGCCAGGTCAGCGTCAGTGACCTGGTCGGCTGCTTCGTTCAAAGCAACGCCAAGCGTCGAATACGTGGAGCGGTGTTCAGATACTGGTTCCGTCACAGTATCAAGGTTTTTGATATTTCTGTGCGATGGTTTGTCTACTTTTTCACGGGATTTGATTTGTTTTTTCGGACAGCATCCACCGAGGAGACAAATTTCCCCCGCTTTGCACTGATAAATATTGGTGCATGTGAAAAACACCTTGTTACCACGGGGACAAACTCGCAGATGACAGCGTTTGTTGATACAAATGAATGTGGGTGGACAATCCGATGAATCTGTGCATTCAGCATTTGATACGTCACTTGTCACTGAAAAAAGAAATCTCTCCAATTTCAAAGTAGCCCCTGGCACATGTAAATCATAGAATTCGTCCAGCGTACTGATGATTGCTAAGAGAAGATAGTGATATGGTATTACGAAAAAAGGCACCATACGCTTTATGGTAGTAGTGGCTAGACTAGTTCAATTTTCAAAATTTATAAGGGACGCTTTAAGCAGTGAGGTTTTCTAGCTATTAAATTGCAGTTTTTAAACAATAACATTAAAGGAATAGAAGGTTTAACTTTTATTAACTGCCTACTATTTTACGACATGGTATTATGTGAAATCCAGCCACAACGATGTTAAGATATTTGCAAAACTTGGACCACAGGCCAGACTCGAACTCGAGGTTACCCTTTTCGAGAGTTTACTGTTATCCACCGCATTACTGAGGTCTTTGCTTTGAAAGGGTAATCGCAGGTTCGAATCCGGCATGGGACTCAAGTTTTGTGAGTATCTCAGCATTATTGTGGCTGTATTAAACGAATAGTTTCCAAACAGGGGTTACAATGGAAGTATTTTAATTCTTTTTTTGTAGATTAACTAGTTGCAAAGGCAAATTGAAGTAAAAATCAGCATTAAGATCTTCATTTGAGAATTCGGAGACCACTAAAAGAATTTCGACGGCATAAGTCTTTTTTGAGTAACGAAATTGGTCAGGAATGTACATTCATAAAAGCGGATGTGGAGTCCGCCTCTCTTAAGCCGCGATTTAGTCTGTTCTGATAGTAAATGGTGGTCGGTGTTGCGTCGTGGTCAGCAACAAAGCAACGACCAAACATCCACAGTTGTACGTCCATTCCCTCATCTGGTGGTTCGCTGGCCGGCTACCCGAGCAACCAATAGCTGGATATGAAAACTTACTTGAAACAGCAGCCGGAACGATGGCTGTTGTCGTACATAGAGTGATCGACCGCTCCGTTCTCGTCAAAGATTGCAAATTTTCCTTGCGAACGTGTCCTCGTTTATGTGGAAGACGTTGAGAACAGTGAGGAAAGGAACCGCATGCCACAGCAGAGCGACAGTATGACGTAGAGGGGTAGGAGCAGGATTTGTGTGGTGGGGTTAAAAACAACAATAGCCCAGTGAAATGCAGAAATATCTCTATAGAAATGGAAAGAGGTTAAGCAGTGAGGTAGATTCGTCAAAACGTTAGTAAGGAAAAGATTAGCAGAGTAGAAAAGTTATAGGAAAAAGGTTTGAAAGTGGAAAAAGTATAGAGGAAGTAAGGCCGATATTTTAAATGGAGAAAAGTGATACGGATCGTTGGTGACTTCAAAAAATGCCAAGTAATAGTTACCTTCTCAAAAAGAACGCGGAATTAAAAGGACGACGTTATCTAAAGGAAAAAACTATTCATTGTAAATGGATAGACGCTGGTTGATCGGTAGACGATGCCTGTGTTCGTCGGCGCGGCAGTTAGTGGAAAGAATTACTTTATGGAATATCTAGGCACAGTGGCATACCTGATTCCTTCTTCCATTGACTTTTTCACGAAGTGGTCTTCGTTCATCTCGCACGGAAAGTGTACAAAGCGAGCAGTTTATTTGAATCAGACGAACTTTTCTAATCAAAGCGACACACACTTGAAAGTTTAGCCTCACTTTAACGTGGTGCTCGAGTTAAGATGAGTTCGACATATGCGGCCGATAATCTAGCTAATAGTAGACAAATGTTGGAAATTGAAGACTTTCCGGTGGAACACTAGCTAGAATGTTCGATGCCTCTCTCAGACATATATACACCAACTGGCTTCCACGTATGGGTGAGACCTGAGAACACCTATTACAACTCCAGTATTTCAAACCAACCTAATGAGCAAAATACTAATCCACATGAACCGTGGTAGGGTTCAGGAAAACAGGTGTTAAGAGAGTGACTAAGGATGGTAAAGACGGAATCGCACAACATAGTGATCTTCTATAATAGGTAAAGGAATAGGTATTGGTCAAATTACCATTATTTAGTTTTGACGACTTTTGATAGCAGCAATTTCCCTTCGCTATTTCCTACCAGTCATAATTTTTCAAATAGAAACCTACACTTCAGGATTTCTTGTTTTTGATTTCTAAAACTAGTTGTTATTAGTTGGCAATTATCCTATTCATGCAAGTGTTTGTTCCATTCAGAAAGGTCATGCGAGTGGTTGTGGGAGTGTGAGCGGTGAGCGTGCCATCAAAGGTTCCTATGTATCTCACTCACGAGATAGTGAACTCATTCTCTTCGGTACCACACATGTTTGCTGCTCGAAATTGAAGACAAAGCCGTCCTGACAGGATCTTCGAACCCAACGAAGCGATCTGAAAGCACGAGGCAAGGTCAGATAGCTCAATGTTAAATAGCCGGTTCACACTCTTCTCTTACAAAATTCAAAGGATGTTGTGTCCGCTTTCAAATATCTATCGTTCACCTCTAACCGATTTAAAAATCAGTGTAGCAGAAGTGTGTTTGCGTTCATTCAAAGTTGGCTTTTTAATTTCACAGATAAACACAGGGTCTTCGGCTTCACCTTTACTTCTCTCTCTTGAGACACCCCTTTATAGGCCGTCGTCAGTGTTTCATAAAATGACGCCTTTTCACAAGTATTCACTGCGTTCCGATTGTCACAAAGTTTCGTTGTTTAGCACAAATAAGGTTCCCAGTAAGCTTTAATGCTGGTTATTATTATAATTGACTCCTTGAATTCTGCCTGGCTATTTATTTACGGTAACAAAAACATGATAGCCTTTTATTCGTCCTTTTAGTACCGTAAAATCGTAAAGTGCAGAAAGTCGCTCACGTTTGATCGCACTGAAGATAGCTGGACGGTATTTCACTGTCGGCTTGCAGGCATGTGGCAGAGACTGCGCAGACGTCCGACTCACGGGCATCCAGGTCTTGCTCTGTAAAGGAAAAGACAAAGCTGTTGAATTTCTACCTGGACGGTTAGTAACGTTCCAATGAGCTGTTGGAGCCGTTCAGTCAGATTTCCTCTTGAGCAGAGCTCGTTATCGCATCGGTTATACCACATTAGCACATCTGGTAGTACAATGATCTACTGCCTTTGCACAATCACACAATACTCAGGGTTTTTGCTCTAACACTTCTACTGGTGTTTAAAATTCTTTAATTGGAAAGCAACGTGACAGGCAATGAACGCTCCAGTGGTTTGTCAGGATAGCGCTATTTTAGCTTCATTTTATACGGTTCGTTGATAGCAGCGTATTGAACACTCATCACTAGTTCATTATAAAACGTCCTTGAAAAACTCAGGACTAGCCCTTTTTCGAAGCTCAAAAAGTGATAACTTGAGGAGTTTTCGTTTCCAAGCAAAGCAGATTCTGAGATCTACTAGACATCTGTGCCAATGAAAAACCAAGATTTGTTTGCAGCTTAGACCTACTTATTTCTGGACATTTGCGTAAGTGAATCATTTTCGTCCACCAACTGAAAAATCGAGCAATGGCGACGTTTTTATAGCCTTAAACCAGTGAAGTGTATATTTTTAAATAGAATTTCTATGATCGTTTTATAAATCCAACTAGCTGCTTCAAATCTGATCCACTTTCAGAACGCATATTCACAAATATGGTATGGCTTTCCCAGTATACAGTATCAAAAGCAAGACACCACCAATCTGTGCTTAAAGCTCTGCAGAGAAGCAATAGAAAGTAGATTTTGAAAGCGAACGGCAACGATGCTGACTGAGGATGCAGATGCAAAGAAGAGAAACCAATCGAGCGCTCGCGATAACAGTATCCTTCCTTGGGCAGTCCAGAGATAATAGTCTCGATGGCGAACTGCTCGACAGTCATGTCCTCATTTCATGTCAAATCAGTTGGATAAATAGGTTCTTTTAGCCGTTTGCCCTTCTGACGTTTAACAGGTAATCTCATCGTTGAATAACTATGCAGAATCCTGTTCACACACGATTGGATTCGTCGGCCATATGGAATGCCTATGGCTAATATCAAATGGCGTAGTTTTTCACACGTTACGTGTGCGAATGTAAGGTTCTAAATGAGTGGAAAACCATCTGTATCGTGTTGCAAAGTGAAAGGAAGCCAGCACGATATCAATAACTGTCACACAATCTGCTGCTACGAGTCATTTAAGAAACACCAAGCATTAGGGAACCAATTTGTTTCTAAAGCATGTGTGAAAGGACCGATCTTTGGCTGAACATCAAGTAGCGAAAATGAGAGTGACATCCTACTCAGTGTCCATCATATCGTAACTACGATCCTTCTTGCCATATGTGTCAAAAATCTCGAAGTAAAAGAGGAAATGTGGTGCTGTGACCTACGACGATAAATGCGGGTCACATGTGCTGCTGTGAGTCGATAAGCTGAAACACAGGTAGGCTAGCCACCTGGTATGCTAAACGGGAGCCATTGAGCACAAGCCCTCAAATGCCCTAAAGGAATGGTTTACATAGGGATCAAAACCCTCACGTAGCGGATACCGGCTGAAAGTGAGGTGATAGTGATATCTGGAATGGATTATTATATTACACTTGTTCAAATGTCATGCCCTACGTGAACGTAGTGAATGAACTGAACTGAGTGATCAAGGTAACCTTGCTGAACCATATAAGTAAATACCAGTAATTTGGTAGGAAGTCCGTAATAGAAAAATCAAACACTTGTCAAGCCACTGATCAACTACTACATTTTTTAGAAGCTTGATAACCATATTTTCTGTGTCTACAAATTCATGAATTATTGATAAATGTAGCGCCAACCTTAGTTCCGACGAAGTTAATCAGTTTGGATCAATTTAATCAAATGTAAACTGCCTGACTATGATTAAAAGTGGTTTCAGCTGTTGCAAAAATTAAACAATATCGTATTTTATTGCTTCATTTACTTCAGTAGAAGTGTTTCACTGCACTTGACTGGACTCGATAGGACGAAGAAAACTGAAACTGGAAAAGAGCGATTTTGGGCAATCGGCTTTGGCAAGCGCGGCTCCCAGGAAGGTGAAGGCGGCGAGGCATAGGGACAGAAAGGATTTGGTAATAACTTCATGTAAGCTCATGAACGTAACAAAACATTGACTATTAATGCCGAGGTTAAATGAAAGCCAATTTTCAAAAAATGTTGCTAGGTTTGTGTTGATGGAATAGTTTCTCTTAGCCTAAAGGAAAACTCGTCAAAATCCGTGCCAGCCTATTTTTCTCCTTAGGAGTTTATGAACACAAAGGATTCCCATATGTTCACCAAATTTGTAATTTTTATCTGAAGGACGCAATTCAGTATCGAACTCATTAAGACGACACCATTGTCGCTTCTCCTAACTCCCTCCCGTTTTCCGACGAGGTTGCTCAAGTAATGGAGGGGAGGGAATGGACTTGATGCAGCGGTTATGATTGTTTGCTTATAGTGAACACTATGGTCACGATCAGCCGCCGTCCCTCCGCAACCGTTGTCCCTCTAGAGCCATTTCGAGGGAAACATCTATATATGGAGCTCTCATGGATGGATTTAGACATGCTATACGCGGCTGCCACCGGAAAATTGACCTTTGTAGAACGCTTTCTGAAGATCCACATTGGAATTTAAGGTATTTTTTGGAACGCTGTGAGATTCTGAGGCTTATCTCGCCTCAGTCATCTGAGAGAGAAAATGCTGTTGAGGGGTCACTGTAACACAATTTCCATAACCACAAAAATTTCCAAAGCCCAAGTGAGCAGTTTTTGCACCCACATTTCGATAAAGGGAGTAATAATTCACACACAAGAAATCGTTCAAAAACATCCGGCACACATATTAAAGGACAGCGGTTTTTACGAGTAGACGAATAGATCGATAAGGGAAATTTAGCAGTATTGAAGATAATCCACTGTTTTCTTTCCGAAAGATTACTTTGGCTGTACAAGCATAGTGCTAGTCTGTGTATTATTTCTGCTGTAGATGCATAAATGACAATGAATAACCTTTTTTGCAGCTTATCATTTTTTCATGGCAGGGTACTATGTGAAATGTAACCACAATGATGCTGAGATATTTGCGAAGCCCAGACCCCAGTCGAGATTCCAACCCGTGATTACCCTTTCGTGGGCTCATGTGTTACCCACTGCATCATTAGGTTCCTCGCTTTGTCTTTCTCTCAACCATTTTTTTTACCCTAATGGTGCTGGTTAAAATTTCAATATGACTCGCGGTCAGTTTTGTAAACATCTCAGTATCGTTGTGGTTATAATACACGATTACTTCATCTAGTTAGATATATATAATGGATTGTAATCAATGCATTGTTACTTAGGCCATTTTTTAAGAGGCGGATATCATGTTTCTTGCAACGAATCAAATAAATGGGAAAAATACGGAAATTCGAAAAAAAGAGAAAAGTGTGCAACAATAAAATATGGGACGAAATAAAGCGGTTAAATCTATGTCTGCTTTGCAGCACAAAAAGCATGCATTCACCGATTTCGGTTTATAAAAATCTTTGTCAAAAGCACCTGAAACCCAGAATAAGTTTCTGCAACTGAAATGGCACCATTTTAGCAATCTTCTGCTAAAATGTGCTTAAACACGACCAGAGACGTATTCCCTCCTAGTAAGGGGAGTACAAGTACTAACTAGCTACTAAATCTGGACAAGCTTGTTTGTTCTTCGTGAGAATCGGCAAAAGATCTCAACGGTATGCTGTAGTTTCAAGAGCTGGGAGAGTCTCCTCGTCATTGTTCTCACCCATTTGGTTTAGTCATTGGTTCAAGCAAGCACATCTGAATGTGACCGTAGTAGATACCATGGTTCAACATGGGCCTGCTCTTCAGGTCAGTCTCAGTTTTAAGCTCATGGCAAGCTGCTTCGCTACGAAGCTGAGCCAAAATTAGGAGCGATTCGTAGCTATGGCACTGCCGGTTATAATATGGTCCCAGAAGCCTTCTGCTAACTAGCACTATCACGATATATGCTCAGTTTGTTGTGACGACACTGCTCTTCCGGGTCGCGGACATAGTTGCTCCCGCTCGCTGTCCTCGCCGAGCCACCGTCAGTGTATTTGCACTCGCCCGTCCACTCTCTTTCCCTCACACTGTTTGAACTTCGATTATCAGTGACTGTAGCGGATCAGAACGCTACTGTCACAACACGGTCAGCTCGTAAGCGAAGCTCAAATGCGGGCGGATCTACGCTCACTCTTAATAGCTATAACTGATACTACAGGAAAAATATTCTGAACAGCAAAAACTTTAAGCAAATGGAACAAAATAGTTAGATAGAATAAGATTGTTTTAAGCAAAATGATTAAAAATCGTTTGCTGCAGGACGCAACGTGACCTTCATTGGATGAATAGCCACGAGCAAACTCTTCTAACTAGCTCGCGTTGCTGAGGAAAAAATGCTTCCAAAAAATCTGGTTTGATTGTTCTCACATTTCTGGATGAAAGGGACTAGATGGTTTTCATTTTCATGTCATGGTCTATCTAAACCTGCCTAATCCCACAAAAGGGTTAAAATTAATGACGTCATGTGCCCGCCTATTAGTTAAAATAGGCGGTTTGAGCTCAAAAATAAGATATCTGTGTTAGGTGCACAGTGATTTTAGCGTTGTTGTAGAAAAGCAAAGGGACTTAACGAAAAGCATTGTGATAAAAATCGCTATTCACTATGTGTGAATAGACAAAGGAAACATTCTGTTTACCATATTAAGAATGTGTTCATAGAGATTGTTGTTGTAAACGAACGAATGAAAATTTTGAGTTCAAAATTAAACCACGAACTGACCACAAATGTTTGGCGCATTCTGTTTGCGCATAAGTTTTGGATGCTGTTGTGGTTGGGTGTTCTCCACCGGGATCGGCTGGCCGGCCGTAGACGACGGACCAGCCGTCGGTCCTGAACTGGCCGTCCGCGATTTCACTACCCAGACACCGTCACCGGAAGCGCTGCTGAATCAGAACTGTGTGAGCAGTACAAGTACGAAACAGGCCAGACCACTGATAAGAATCACAAACGAATTGTACCGTGCTTTTGTCAGTCCGGTGCATAATCCGATGGATAGGAATTCAAGTGTCTTGTTGTGCTAACAAGCACTATCAAGTTGAGTGTTAGCTTATCAATACCTCAAAAGCTTATTAACAGTGGTATTGCTTAGCGACGCCGTAGTCGAATTGAAGTCGGTTTAGACAGTGTAACGTCTATTACTTTTAAAAGAGTTGATTTTTCACAGCCAAAGCCAAGCTAATTCGCATTTGAGCATAAAAAAGCGAGAAATAAGACTCAGCCGCCATGGTGCTGAGGTCTTTGCAAAAATTGGATCCCAGGCCAAATTCGAACCCGCGATTACCGTGTTTGGAGGTCACGTGTTATCCAATGCACCACTGAGGCCCTTGCTTGGCCTTTCTCTCACGCAATTTTCTGCCCAGAATTTGACATCATGGTTTTCCGTGAAAACGATACTTGATACTTGAATAGCCCGTTCTCACTGGTTGTGTGGGCCCCAGTATAATCTCCATTTTTCGGAGATTTGCTGGTTAGGCCATCATGGTTTTCCCTGGAATCCCGAGGTCAGCCTGGCCAAGGTCTGCCTCAGGTCTTTACCACCATGGACAGTCGCAGCCCTTGTGGATCAGAGGGAGATTTACCACCATACGACTTTGATATCAGAACGGTGGTGGACGCTGGTATTGGTTTCCTCTTAGCCAGGCTTTCTGATGGAAACGCCAGACTCTTTCTCAGCTTGGGAGACCATGTTGTGAGGATGAACCTCCCGCTGTCCATCACCGCCAGACACCCAGAAACACCTCCCAGCCACGATGAGGTGAACCGTTGGGAGGTGCAAACAATAATAGGTAGTAAATAAGAAGCAAAAATTGAAATAAAACTTCTTAGAAAAAAACACTTAAGGGTTTTAAAATACTTCTTCCTCTTACTTATGAGCTGTGATCGTTTATAGAATAGTGTGAAATAATAAGTATCCTCCGGGAACAAAATTTATGACAAAGCAGAGAGCTTATAGAGATAAATTTAATTTGGAAATAGCATTTAATTTAGGGTAAGGGTAGTACAGTGGCAGTGACGCCCATCATCACGAGCATGGTGCTAGTTCGATTCCGCTCCGGGCCAACCAAGCCTCCCATCGCTCCGGGGTCGGGGAATTGGTACCGCACTTCTCTGGAAAAAAATCACTTTCTGCGATACAACTAGGAACGCTCCAGCCCAGCTATCTCAGGTCTCCAGGAAAAACTGTTCGACCAGCATTCTACGGCATTCAAGATTAAATGGAAATTCTCAAGCAGCAATTGAAGCCACACGTAGAAGTTGGAAGATCGTCGTGAATGATGGATGCGAAGAAACGAACTGAATGTGAGAAATGCTGGGATCCGCACAGTAGACGAGAAGACAGGTCAAATAAAATTTAGACAAGTGAAAAATTTTAATTCAGTTGCATAGAAAGTTCTGCGGCATTCTTTATGCTGGCACGTTTTCCCTTATCAAACTAGAGAATGAAATTGTTGAATTCGAAGTGACTATAACGTGGCTGTCGACAGTCGACAGAAACTAATCAAATGAATAAGCCCCTATACAGAGAAAAAGGCATCGTAATTGGAAGTGAAACCTGGGTTCTGTTTGTTCATGATACGCAAACGAAAGTGATTATTCTTAGAGCACCGCCAGGCCCTGCTCCAACGAATCCTGACGCACATGGAAAGAGGATTCTGTTGTGTTAGTGGTAAGCCGACTCAAGAATGACTTATGCGAGCAAATGACAGCCATCCTTCCCACAGCCGTGGCTCTTAACTCGACTCAATTCCAGAAGCTGCTTGATGTCGTTAAAAGCAAGCGAAAGTGAGATTGTCTTCTATGCGACTACACTCGTCATAACACTTCAAAATCATGGTGGTCCTAGATGGGAAAATCATTCGGCTCCCACTATTTTTTCTAGATGTTGCAAATGCTGAGTTTCATTTGTTCCAGACTGTCAAGAAGCATCCTATCTACTACGAATGAGCACCTTCAACGCTTATTCTCAGTGAGAAGACGAGATTGGTAGGTCTTTCAGCTCATGCGCTTGTGCATCCACAAGGTGCCGAAACGTCGGGTGCTCGTTTTAGATGGGGATCGCGTTTACGTCGTGGGTTGATTTTATAGAACAACGAAGTTCTAAAAAAATCTTTACAACGTCGAAAAAACCAACTAATCCGATATAATTGAAGCCTACATCCAATGAGACAAAAATGAGATAAAGTCAAAAGATGAAAAAATGAAAACATCGAGATCATATAGAAAGGTCTAAAAAAGGCGTAATCGAGATTTGCACAATTTAAAGATACATATCATAAATTTTGTTCGAAACGTGAGTGAGACGAGAGGAATTGAAGAAAATCAGAAAGAAACTACTCAGAAAGAAAAAATAGGAATTGACTCACGTACCCGTTATGTAGAACGATTTGGGAATCAGTGACCAGAAAATAGAGACAGGGTTTTGACAAAAGAGAAGTAAAATAAAACCTCACTCCGACACCGGTTCGCATCTCAGATAAAATTGCGTTTGTTTTCCGCCGATGTGCACGTCGGCGGCACCAAGCCGGCATGAGCCACCGATGACAGGCGTTTGGCACAAACCAGGGTTGACTGGAAAAAAAGTTGTAGAGGGGTGAACTCAATCGGAAACCAAACAGGTTGTTATGAGAGACAGAAGAGCTACGATGAGGCAGTGTACTTCCACCACACACTCATTGGTAGCACCTCAACAGTTTCAGCCATCCAAATACTTATTGAATTGGGAACGAGTAGTTTGCACGTGACTTCTACTACACAACGCCGACGATCAACTTCAACGATCCTACTGTTGTCCATACAGGTGCGTCTAGATCAACATCAGCATCATCGTATGTTATCGAAGTTGCTGGGAGTACTTTTCGACGTATTAACTGCTCAAATGAAACGAATGCACAAGCCAGCAACAGCAGTGCAACCAATTGACAGCTCAATCGCATAGTGAACAAAATTTGGACTCGTTGTCCAAAATTCAGAACCTTATGTGCTAAATCACAACTGTCAAAACAAGTATTAATAGACGAAAATGAGGAGAATGCTGTATTGTGGAAGTTATGAACATAAAAATAACTCACTTAGGAATAACGTGGCTATAAACAGTGAATGCAAGAGTAAGTGGCACTGCATAGCTGAAATGACCAGAGAGACAACGAGAGCAGCTCTCTATAGCCCCGTAAAGGTTTGTGCGCGTGTGTATTGTGTGTGTTCGTTTGTTCGTTCCTCAGCTGGCGTCCGCCCCTCCTTTTGAAGGGTTTAGGGTAGATGAGATTGTGTCGACACTCTACTCAAAAACCGCACCAACCGCTTTTGTTTTCAACGAATCTCAACTTTGCTCAACACGGCTAAATTAAGAGCACATACATGCAAAAGGAAAAAAGCATTAAAATTACTTCTATACTTCAGGTATCCCTATTTTTACCGATAACCCAGTTACGATTACAGAAGTGCCACTTGAGCACAAAAAGTTGTTGTGCTTCCAGTTACCGCGATAATCAAAGTAGCGTTTATTTCTTACTCCAGCAGTCGTCAAGAAACCATGTTAAATTTGAATTGTTTTTTCATAAATAAAATCATACATTATCCAGAGACAAGATGCTGCGTTATGTTTGTGTCACGGCTATAGCCTTTTCATTTTGGTCTGGGAACAGTCTTGCTATTACTGTGGAGTTGAAAGCTTCAGCTTCGCCAGCACGATTAAACTAGTGACTGTGTTCAATCATCCGTTAAATCCAAAATTGAGCCTACGTATCAAGTTCTGTTAGAGCAGCCTACCTAACCAAAGAAACGTCAACGTAGACCTGGATTGCTGTAGTGTAGAAGAAAACTCCACTCTAAGACAAACATTATTAGAAGTAATACTGTAGGTACGTGCAGATGATCATCATCAAGTCGTTCTTTTCAAATGGGGTAATCCACCCAAATTACACAAGATGATCAAACCTCCTGAGCGTAAAATTCATAAGCCGAACTAAAAAGTAAGAGGGCAATAACTTTTTAAAATCATGACAAGTCGAGTGATTAAAGAAGAGAACAAGCATAGAGAAAACTTTACGAGACAAGTATACTTTTTTTTAAGACTTTTTATTAGGTTCAAGTTAAGGGATAAAATAAAGCTAAAAAACAAATCAGACCGAGAAACCTAGTTATAGTGTTTCGAGCTTGAACGATAAGCTGCGGGAAGAGCTCGTAAGGGTTTGGGTAACAATCGCTCGTGGTCATGGAAACAACGTCGGTTTGAAAGTTTCATTCTGAAGACCAGAAACTGTGAAGATGAAAGTCGTTGGGAACGACCCACTACTATCGACGATCTGCACTTGAAAGTGCTACTTGATGGGAAACGAAAATCCGATTCTTCGTGGGTGCTTGATAATTGGAGAAAAGCAACAGTTTCGAAGCACGACAGGATGGAAAGTAGAGAAGGAAACTCGATATACGTCATGAATTGGATTGGAATAAAGAGATCGCTATTGCAATGTTGATTTTGCGCTGCCTTTCTAACACACGACGAAAAATGTCTTTTGAGGAAGCGTGACGGGGAGATGAGCACGACAATTGATGACGTTCCGTTAAATGACTGTTTAAAGATGAAGCTTCGAACGATTTCCCGAAGCAAGATTTTGTTCGCCATTCCGTGCTCGAAAGATGGAATTATGAAAAATACCTCCTCGAATAGGTTAGTCGTTAAATAAGAGAAGTGGTGTCAGAAGATGGACAAATTACGCCAAGAACTTCATAGTGCGGTGTTTCTCATTTAAACCAACGGACCAAGTTACAGTAAACTCCCACCACACTCCACACACCCAGTTCTGGAAAAGGTTGAAGAAATCGGAAGCAAAACTGCGTAATCTAGTATATCCGACAAGGCTTTCGTTTTCTGACTACTACTATTTTCTCAAGAACTCTGACAAACTCCTTATCAAGGTGAATGAACAGAGCAAGACCGATTCAGCGACCAAAACCTCTTCTGAAAACTTCTTCAGCAAATTCATGTGCTCTAGAATTATACTACAAAATCTGAACTTAAGAGAGCAAATAAATATGTTATGAAGAACAAAATGTGTAGAAATTCTAATAGTATTTTATTTTGGCTGACAAAGCCCAGTACGAGCTGTTATCTGTGTGCTTGAATTTACATTTGAAAAAGAACAAGTGTATTTACTCGTATCCATTATTATTAAGGAGATACATATAGAGCAAAGAAGCAGGATGAAATAGAGCTGTATAGAGTGCCGCGCAGTGGTCGTAGGCGCTCCACAGCACACACGTTGGTCGATCCACGCGTTCGTGGCCCACAAACTCTTCAATCCCTCCGGAGTCGCGAAATTGGTACCAGACTTGTCTAGAGGGATAGCAACACTGGCTCGATACATCGTTAGGGCACCGCGAGTCATTGTATGGGCCAGATATGCATTCAATCACCTTTAAACGATGCTTAATGAAGTCGAATGCATGGTGCAACCCTCGAAGACTGATCAACACCGAGAGCTTTATCTTTTTATAGTGTGTGGCAGACTTGGGCAAGTGCGAGTGAAGACCTGGGAAAGGTACGACATAAGCAAGGAAATTTGCAAAAAAATTTTGACCAGTCACCATTACCACGAGCTTTCTAAAGGCTAATCAAAATATGTCATCAACCGAAAGGCGATTTGTGGATCGAGGACTATCCACTTCCGGGCTTATACTTTTCACTGACCTGCTGACTTTACGCCATTTTCTTCTACGCAGATGATATTTGCACCTCAATCTATGTGCTATGAAATGGCCTCGAACAAGCAGGCCCCTCCATGTCCTTCAAGTATGTGGTTAGTTTCAAAAACGAAAAATAATCGCTTTATTTCAGATCCAACTTATTCTATTCATTATAAATCTGAACCTATTCTCAGGCAGAAGTCAAAATGGAGTTGTCCAATGGCCGCAAGAAGTAGCCGGAATTGCCAGTTGGCTGGAGATGATCTTGCCGAAGTCGTTCCAACTTTCAACCTTCAAGGTCTTCAAGTACTTGCTTGAACTCTTCTTGAATTAAGTTCTTAACTCCGTTTGCGTCTATGTCGTCCTAGAGTCAACAAGTGATAAGTAAAACACTTTAACGTCCTATATGTTGCAAAATTTGCTTTAGCCTTTACTATTCGTCTCCTAGTATCTTTAGTTCTTCTTAATCAGTAGAATCGTAAATCTGATAGTAAAATATAGCTTACAAACCTTAGCATTTAACAAAGTCTAGTGAAATCAATTGCTTGGAAAGTGTTGCTTGTGTTTTCACGTAAAGACAACCAACTTTTAAATCTTTATAGTGGTACCTTAACGTCTTTTTCAACAGTTTTTAGGTAGATTCTTCAAATACCACATTGAAAGTTTACGAAAGTATTTTTATGACACAACCACAATGGTGCTGAGATATTTGCAGAACTACGCACCGCAGGTGTCTGCGGTGAGGAACGAACGTGCTATTACCCTTTAAAGGGGCTAATGCGTCACCATGCGGGTTCTTCGTTCCGCCTGTCTCTCAGCTAGTTCTACCGATCAGTGCCAATCACCTGTCGGAGGGATTGATCTCGGAATGAGAAAAATTGTAGTAGGCAGTAAACAAAAAATTGACATATTTATGACACTTAAAAAGTAGAAATGAGTCTTGAGTCTGGTAAATTTATGTTGAAGACGATATGGAACTGAGTATGGAACACCAAAATGAAAAAACTATGCCAAGAAAAAAGATATTTGATTCATGCATACTGAAAAACCGGTGACTTTAGACTGATCGAGCTTAGTGTTTCAACAAAATTTCTACAGTGGCGACCTTGTCAGTGTAAGCAGGTGACTTTGACCTGGTTCACCGTGAAAGGCTAGATAATCTGTGGCTGGTATGCCGAACTCTTGTCACAAACACAGATGAGCCAGGAAGCCATGTGTCTTTTCAGATATGAGAAATCTTTAAGAGCAAAGCCATTCGCCTAAAACCTTCTAACTACGACTTTATTTCACCCCATATTTCACGTTGGTTTCTTGAGGCTAAGATTTTTACATGAAAGGTTTTGAAAAAGATCAGTAGCTTAGTCAATTCACTTCGCAGAGCTGCTGTCAAAAGCTCCTTTGAACACTCGTAGTACTTTCTTCTATATGAAACAAAATATTATGGTCCACAACAGACCACGCAACGCGCTGTTGATCTGTGCCGTTGTCAGTTCTCACTGTTGGACCTCTCAGATTATACTACTAGCTCTTGATTGTAAATAGATCCCGTTTATGTCTTGCACAATTTTCCAACCCATACATTACTCTTTGTGCTTCCGGTTAATGTTCGATACTGGTAATTATATTTGAGGGAAATTCTAGTTGTGGCAAAGTATACACATATATATATATGTATATATATATATATTTACACTGCACAATATATGTATATATATACATATACATCATACATATATACACACTCATATTATATACATATGCGTATCTGTGCTTGTATGTATGTGTATGTATCCATATCTGCATATATGTTTATGCTCCCGATGCAGTTCACATAGGAACTAAGGAGAGCTAGCTGATATGTCAACCGTGACGTAAATACAGGAGACTGGATGAGAGGCAATGAAAGCCAGAGGGGTACTGAGGAATGATGACGATGGAATGTGGAGTGGGGTCGGGTCGAACAGAAACGGCAAACAGCCCGGCTCACGAATCGGACTCGTCCAATACCGGCTTATCAGCAACACCGTATCACGCCGCGACGGTGATGAGAGCTATTTCTGGACGACAAGGACGAGAATCGAAACGGAATACAAAGCGCGTACCAAAATAGCTCGTCTCTATCGAGTCTCCTCTTTGTCAAGCAATTTCCCTCAAGATCTCAGTGATAGAGAGCTCACACAGGGAAGCTAGATGTTTGAGCCTCGAGATATTCTTCTTCGATGTCTAAAAAATGATTCTACTTTATGTGGTTAATGACACTAACCTTTCCTACCAAACTACGTGAACACTACAGTTTTAAGTTTAGGGAACAGCGCATAGTGAGCAGTTGGAAGGCCGACAAACTATTTTGGCTTAGGAGAGCATTTTTCACTTTTACAGTGGTCAAATCTTTAGCCGTGCTTTCAATTCCGAAACGAGGAAAGTCTGAAGAAGACCTTTTTAACAATTGAACAACTAGGAACACAAAAATGGTAGATATCCTAGAGGGGAAGCAAATCGCTTTTGATCACTCAGCGTCATTGAACGGGCGGCGGAAAGGACGGTGCTTGGAGTATCCCGTCTCACACAAGCAAGTGAAGGGATCCGAAGCTCCGAGCTGCGTCGACAATCAAAAATCGAAGATGCCGATCTATACGCTAAACTGTCGAAAGTAAGGTTGGTCGGACACGTAATGAGTTTGAACGACAACCGATGGACAAGAGCCATTAATGACTGGATTCCTCAAGATGTCGTACACACTGCAGGAAGACCACCGACCCGATGGTCAGAGTTCTTCACGAACACTCTAAAGAATTTTTCTCTAGAGCTCAACGAGTCCCTAGAGTGAGTGGAGCCTACTAGGCTACTCTTGTACACTACAGGGAAAAATGGAAGATTTACTACCGGATCGAGTCACTCGACGATCAGCGGGGCGACGGGTGGCATAGATGATCGTTAAGGGTGATTGAATGCAAATCTGCCCTATAGAATGACTTGCGATGGCCTACCGATGTGTCGAGATAGTGCGGCTATCCTCCCAGAGAGGTCTAGTACCAATCTGCCCACCCCGGAAAGATGGGAGGTTTGGTGAGCCTGCTCCACGGGATCGAACCCATGTGTTTTGAATGGAAGCTCTATCAATTGCGCCGCCATAGTGAAATAAATGTTATACCATAAACGATTCATTTGTAATAACGGTTAACATAACAGTTCTCCAAAGAATAGAAAAAGGATAAAAAAGTACGGCAAAGCGGATAATATTGCTCAAAAATAGCACGTTCACCTCTACACTGTTATTACACCAAGCCGTCTTTCTCAGGCTCCTGTGATCAGTGAAAACGGGAAGATGTTTTCAAAAAAGAGTCATTACTCCAGTCACTGCATGGATAGAGTATTCGTGATGTGTAAAGCCTCATATTCATTGGTGGCCCCGAGAATCTACTGCAAGGCTACACCAATAGTTAGCTATTCACGTGAATTTATGAGTGGAGCACGAATGAGAAATGCATTTGACATTGGTTAGCGACGTAAACTTTGTTCATAACTACGGATGCTCATATTGGATGAGCGTATTGTGATTGACCAGATATGTCGAAGATCGTGTAAGCGTGAAGGAGTCTAAATGTGAAAAGGAGAAGTTGTGGTCCTCGGACTCAAAGTGAGGCACAAAGATCTGATCAGGAAGGGCGGTAGCTCCTCAAGCACTTCGGCGGTTCACGTCAAGCCATGATATTCTAGCAGACAGCAGATATGAGGACATTACGGAAACCAACTATGAATGTATACTGTTATAACCGCAATGATGCTGAGATATTTGCAAATCTTAGACCTCAGGTCAGACCAAACATCGATTACCTTTCCGGGGGAACGCGCGTTAAGCACAGCACTACTGAAGCCCTAGTTCTGCCTTTCCTTCAGCCAGTTTTTTTTACGCAAACAATGCCAGCAGCAATCACTGTCGACGGAGACGGTTTGAGGAGCACAAATTGGCATGAAACTGGTTCGATCTGGCCTGGCGTCCAAGTTTTGTGAATATCTTAGCATCGCTGGGTAGTTGCATCTGATCGTAATTGAGGTTGTGTTTCACATAATATCCTGCGGCGAAAAAAAAATAATGCGCAGTAGATAAAAGTTATACATTATGTTGTTATAATCTTAACTCTTTTATTTACTGCCTTTTTTTTTTCTTCTTCTTAATGGCAGGGTATGTTGTGAAATATAACTCGTATGAAGTGCTGAGATATTTGCAAAACTCCGGACCACAGGTGTATGCAGTGGG